AGCGAGAGAGAGAGAGAGAGAGCGAGAGAGAGAGAGAGAGAGGGAGAGAGGGAGAGAGGGAGAGAGAGGGAGAGAGAGAGGGAGAGAGAGAGAGAGAGAGGAAGAGAGGAGAGAGAGAGAGAAATTGTTTCTGAGCGGCTCCTCCCTGCACGAGGATGTCCAAACTCTTCCGACAGGATCTCATAAACACTCGGCACAGGAACATCCAGAGAAAAAAAAAGCACGACTGTGATTCCTGAAGCTGAAGATCCGATGGGAAACTCCTGTCAGACACACAACACAGCAACACCATCAGACCCTGCAAGACCAGACCCACAAGCTTCACTCAGAAATTACTAGTAAAATTCACAGTTAATCACAGAGAAACAGCAAGTAACACGTTGAATCAAACGTGAACCTTTGAAGTAGAAAAACTGAAACAATCTCTAATCTTTTTTTACACTGTAGATTCAAGGCCCTTTCACGTCAAGAACAATACCTATATTAGCATGCAAACCAAAGTTTATTCTAAGACGTTTTGTCATCTGTCACTTTAAATGCTTGAGCTCTTTAAAGTCGGGTGGATTCTGATTGGCTGTCAACATTTTTATCGCTCAACACCTAGAAAATTGTTCATCTGTGTCGCTATCGTTATAGTTGAGGTGTGAACTCACTATTCTTTTATATTCAGGATGATTTTTAAAAATGAATCATTGAGGTTCTACTCATCGTCGTTGGTGTGAGCGAGGCTTCAGTGTCACTGATGATAAGAACCTGATTAACAGCGGCTTTAGTGTTACAAGGTTACAAGCCGCTTACGACAGGTTTGTTTACAGCAGACGAGGCTTTAGAGAATCTGATTAGACGACAAAACACACAGCTCATTGTGTGTGTGTGTGTGTGTGTGTGTGTGTGAGAGAGAGTATGGAAGTGTACTCAAGCGCAGGCCTTGATCGTCGCTGTCTTTGATAACACACGTTCAGTCTGTGAAAGTGTTTGTGCTGATACCTGCATTGACGTCCTGTGGCTTCATCTAAACCAGAGGAGCATCTGCACTAATACAAGTTTTTATATAGCTAAATATATTTGGATTCCCGTTAAAGTCAGACACAGAGTCTGAGATCTGAGCTTTTGGCTCTTTGTTCTTTATTATTTTTATTCTCTCAGTTTTCATGCTGTTGTTCTGAAGAATTCATTGCTGCATTCTTGCACTGTCTGATTAATCAAATTATATTTTTAGTTACAATTTTGGCTTTCAGTGACTATGAAAACAAGATAATTGAGATAAAATGATTGTTGTGTTTCAAAATTTTGCATTTATTTATATATTTTATTTTTATATTTATTTCAATGTGTGGGTATTTGTATACATAAATACGTATATTATTTATTATTATTTTTTATTTAATTTATTTACTTTTTTTTTTTTACTTGAATTAAGTTTAAAAGTTCAATAAATGCATCAGTGAATAATCATGATCTCAGTAAATGGCCAAAATAATTGTGATTATGTTTCTGCATTAGTGATTGATAACAGCTGATATATCTACAGTGTTTTCGATCTATAATTTATAGTTGTTTAATGAGAGCCAGTAGACTATGCACAGAATCACTGAAATTCAGTGTCTAGTCTAATATTTACTCAAGATTCTTCTAAATCCACTAAAAGCATCACTAATCATTCTAACAGCAGAACGACACACATCTGTGCATTGACCCGTCAGACACCGCTATTGACCGACCCTGATAATCTCAGAATAAATATCATCTGATTTATGAGCATGAGTTGTTTTAGAGGAGAGGTGATGCTGATGCTCAGCGTGTTCGTGTGCTGATGACGGGGTCGAGTGAGTTCAGATCCAGTCCATGTGTAAGTGACCGTCTCGTGGGGTTTCCAGCGGGAAGCCCCTCATAACAGATCAGATCAGATCAGATCAGACCACAGACCACTTGTGTGTTTAAAGACGCTCAGGATCTCATGTTTACCGGCTCCCTCATACGCTGGGACTTCAGCGTTCAGATAATGTTGAAGATATTCTCTCACAACATGTGTTTATCAGACGTGTGTTTAACACATCTGTGTGAATGTCCGTTAACAGTGATGGACTGCAGTGAGATTTTTACCTCAACTCATTCTGAATATAAACATATCACTGTATAAATAGTGTGTATGGTCTAGATTAGAAATACTTTTCTTTTTCTTCAGGGTCATTAAAAACAGCTGAAGTCCAAACCAACTGAGGTGGAAATGAATAACGTTCACTCAGTTCATGCAGGAAGAGAATACAGTGGAAATATAACTCACTCACTCACACACACACACACACACTTACACACACACACACTCACTCACTCACTCACTCACTCACTCACTCACTCACTCACACACACTCGCACACACACACACACACTCACTCACTCAGTCACTCACTCACTCACACACACTCGCACACACACACACACACTCACTCACTCAGTCACTCACTCACTCACACACACTCGCACACACACACACACACTCACTCACTCAGTCACTCACTCACTCACACACACTCGCACACACACACACACACTCACTCACTCAGTCACTCACTCACTCACACACACTCGCACACACACACACACACTCACTCACTCAGTCACTCACTCACTCACACACACTCGCACACACACACACACACTCACTCACTCAGTCACTCACTCACTCACACACACTCGCACACACACACACACACTCACTCACTCAGTCACTCACTCACTCACACACACTCGCACACACACACACACACTCACTCACTCAGTCACTCACTCACTCACACACACTCGCACACACACACACACACTCACTCACTCAGTCAGTCACTCACTCACTCACTCACACACACACACACACACACACACCATCTGAACGCTTCATAACATCCTCATGAATCTGAATCTTCATTCGCCGGTGTGACTCGTGTTCTTCTGTTTGAGTGAGTCACACACTGACCTACATTCAGACTCATTCTGAAATATTGAATACACACAAACACACACAATCGTCTCACTGACTTTTTCACATCACCTGTGAATGGATCATTCTGAGTGGCTAATAACCTGTTACTGTAAATGAGTCGGTGATGGTTTCTGTGCACATCTATTCATTTATTCAAAACTCATCTATCATGGACATGTTTTACATTTCAGAATTATTTTGTGGGGCTTAAAATGAAAAATGTGGTATTAACCTTCCTGAGCTTAATCAAGGGAGAAAGCAAGCCATAACAGTAGGCATAATCTTCTGTTAAATATAGTCAGAGGTAGGTCTGGATTAAACTATTAGTTATATCTGAAAAACTGCAGAAACAAAGTGTCAGTCTGTGTTTGACAATCATGCAACAATGTTGTTGTGACTACACTCACTAGCTGCTCTCCCATTGGAGGATGGCATGTACATCACCAACATGCTGAGACGACCTTTCTGAACCATCACACCTCGACTACACACACACACACACACACAGAGAGAGAGAAGCCCTCACTGGGCTTGAACTTCTGCTGCCGTAGCGGCCGAGAGAGCAATGAGACGAGTGCTGGGACACATCTGGGTCAGAGCTGATTAATGGAGCCGCTCCTGAGAAGAGGCCAGTCCTACACCTGCACTGGACACACACACACACACACACACACATGCACGCATGCACACCACACATCTGCAGCACTGCATGCATTAGACACACACACAGACACACACACATCTGGAGTCCTGATCACTGCACTATAATCACAATGACGTCACAAATCTGCTAAAAGTGCTGCGTGATGTCATCGGTCATCAGTTTCTGCATTATAATCCATCATTCCCAGTGTTTTCCTGACCTCAGCAGCAACCCCAAAAACTAAAACGCCCCGAAGCCTCCAGAGCAGACGGGCACGTGTTTTTCTGAAGATCTCGGCCAAGTGAACATTAAAAAAAGAAACACAAACACACAAAGAGTGATGGATAGATTCATCACAGGAACTGTGTTTGTAGTGCAGTGCAGCACTGTATCTCTCTCACACACACACACTCACTCACTCACTCACTCACACACACACATACACACACACACACACTCACTCACTCACACACACACACACACTCACTCACTCACACACACACACACTCACACACTCACACACACACACACACACACGCCGTCTGCACTTCATCAACTTGAGAAACTCCATGTGAAGAATGACATCAGGGTGAAGGAACATCAATGTCCACTGACTTCCCAGAAAAACACATTATGGCAGGGGTGTGAATGCGTTCTGGAATTCCCCAAAGTGCAGCGAGAGTTCGGATTCAGAAGGAAGCGGAAAACACAAGAACCGGAATTCTGAATGCTGAAGCAGAAACAGCAGAACAGACGGCCGAGGCTCATCTGCTGCCACTCTCTTCTCAACACATCCATTACCCAAAGCAACCTAACTATGAAGAACCGATTCAAGTCTTTACACATAAACAGATGAAGTCCTGTCAGTGCAGCAGGAGTGTGTGAAGTGTTTGGTGGTGATTCTACTAGAATTCAAAGTTGTGCAAAGCTGATCATAGATAACAAGACAGCATTAACAAACAACACTCCACAAACCATGATGCTCTCTGTCATTGTTTACTTCTGTAGAGCACAAAAGAAGATATTTTGAAAAATGTTCCTGAAGAATTCCATAGAATGAAACTCGGTGCTCTTTAGTTTCAAAATATATTTTGTGTTCCACAGAAGAAATTAAGTCAGGTTTAAAAGGGACTTAAATGATTTTGTGTGAACAATCCTTTCAAAGTACCACACTTTCAGCACCATAGTAATACACCACTGTACTATGCTGCTGAAATATCACTGTAAGGAAAAGATGGTAAACATGAGTGTCACACACTGTCTAACTTCCATCAGAGATGCAGGACAATCAGCAAATAAACATGTCGATAAACACAAACACCAGCACTGACAGCTCTCTCTCTCTCTCTCACACACACACACACACACACACACTCGTACCGGGGCACGCAGCTCGGAGAGGAGCGGTCGAGCTCCCAGGTGGCGAAGAGGTTCATGGGGACGGGCATAGACCCGGAGCCCGCGGAGCCCCACAGCACCGCTCCAGACGCCGCTGTGGGAGCCGCTCCGCCGCCGCCGCTGCCCGGGTTCAGGAAGGCGGCCCGAAGCCCTCCTCTCTCCAGCGCTGCCGCCATCATCACTTCAGCATGCACCGACCTGAAGAGCTCAGAGCTGATGCAGCGCCGCGACGCTCTGAGAGAGCTTCTGATTCAGCGGAGCGGAGGAGTCTCTGAGGCGGAGCTTCTGCAGCCGGGTAACTGACCGACAGAGGGCCCCGCCGCAGCATCTTCATCTTCATCTTCATCTTCATCAGCAGCAGCAGCGCTGACCTCAATACACAGAATTAAAGAAAGAATAGGAGAAGTGTGAAATATATATACAGTCATAATAGATATATTCATAAATATTATTCAATGAATAATTCTATGAATTAAATATTTATAGCATGTCCACAAACAGAAATATTTGTAAAAATAGTATTACATTATTACATTTACATTTATGCATTTGCTTTCATCCGAAGAAACTTGCATTGCATTCAAAGTATATATTCACATTTGATCATTTCTTGCTTTCCCTGGGCATTGAACCCATGACCTTGGTATTTCTAATGCCATGATCTACTGACTGTATTGCAATAGAATTTATTTATATGCATTGGTGCATTAGCACTATATTGAGACATAAGTGAGAAACCAAAAGCCCAAGACAAATTTGTAGAGTATAGCAAGCTTTAATAATAATAATAGCTTATTTATTTATGGTTCTTTTTGTGTAGTTGTTTTTAATATAATCACATATACACTTAGTATTTGTATTTTTTGTAAATGTTTAAATGTTTGGCAATCAAAAATATAGAAATGGACACAAGCACACACACAGAGGAGTATCCTGCTTAGCTGAGACTGATCCAGATGCTCTTCTGAGCACTGCTTTAAACCCCTTTAACCAGACTCATCAATGTTTAATGACATCGTAAGACATCATGTGGAGGTGTATAGATGACTGTATTAATTCTGCACAGCTTTGGTTTGCCTGTACGAGCAGTCAGCCTGGGTTGTGGTTAGTGAGGGTTAGTTAGGTTAGGGTTAGTTGTGTCAGTCTAACTGGATAATCTGAATACGAGTGAAGCAGCAGCAGCTCAGGTCTGTGAGTGACAGCTGGGTCTCACACACATTCCTCTGATAACAGCTGATATGAGCAGCACTGAACAACAGCTGCAGCACAGTTACACACAGACCGGCTCTTTCATTAATACAGCCAAAGTGAACTGATTCATTGCTGCATTTGTTTGATGGGGTTCTTGTTTTTTTCTGTTTTATATATTTCTCTGTTGAAACCGTGTAATATTTTTTATTAATGTTGAAAGTTGGGTTGTTGTTAAAACTAGTCGAAATTAAAGTAACACAACATGGGCATCTCCAGTGTTGACTTCATCTCTCTCTCTCTCTCTCTCTCACTCACACACACACACACACACACACACACACACACACACACACACACTCACTAACAAACACACACACACACACACACACTCTCTAACAAACACACACACACACACACACACTCTCTAACAAACACACACACACACACACACACTCTCTAACAAACACACACACACACACACACACTCTCTAACAAACACACACACACACACACACACTCTCTAACAAACACACACACACACACACACACTCTCTAACAAACACACACACACACACACACACACACACTCTCACACACACACAAACAAACACTCACACACACACAAACACTCACACACACACTCACTAACAAACACACACTCTCACACACACACACACACACACACACACTCACTAACAAACACACACACACACACACACACACACACACTCACACACACACACACACA